GTCAGGTCAGAGTGAGTTCATTTCTCCTTCAGCAGGAGCAGTTCTCGGGGGAACTCTGAGAACCATCCTGACAATAAGAAACATCCAGTGTAGTGAGTGGAACATGGTGACTGAGAATCACATGCATGGGTTTCTCAGGCTCTTGCGCATTGTTTGATGCAAGGGTAGGCCTGGAGGTATGGTGGGTGGTGAACACGCACAGGGTTTGGAGTTAGACAGACCTGAGCTTGGATTCCAGCCCCACTACCTGGCAGCTGTGTGACCTTGGACAGGCTTCTCAGTGTCTCTGAGTGTCAGTTTCTGAATCTGGGGATAATTCTAAAATGGGGATAATGATAGCATCTGCCTCATAGGGTTACTGTGTAAATTAACAAGCCAAATGCCGAGGTTGTGACTATTTAAAAGTACGAGCTGTCGTAGTTTAAAGAAATCCAGCATTATTTAAGCCAGCAGAGTTTAGTAGGAGGGGCAAAACCAGCGTGAGCTTGCACTAAACCCCCGCTTTACCTTTCAGCGGCATTGTACGGCTACAGAGTTAAGGCAAGGGTTGAATTCCACAGTCAAAAAACAATGCTTTTCTGAGACCCAGCTCTCTGGGAAGCCCAGGGACCCTGGCTGGATTGAGGAGAGAAGTGACACATGTGGGCTGCCTCCTCTCCTTCTTACGAATAATCCTAACAGAAGACCAGCGCTGGGCAGCTGGTTCCTGCCTCTTTACTGCACAGAACCAAGCAATAGCGTTGTGACAGGCTTGTTTCTCGGGTCTTGGAAGCTTTGTCAGTGGGAAGGAAGGAGGCTGGGCCTCTGACGCTGAGGGGAGGCAGCACGTTGGGGAGGAGAGGAGAAGCCGGTGTGTTTGGCTGTTCTGTTTTACAGCTGCCCGTGGTGTCTGCCGCGGCTCTCCCGGCGATCGCAGCGATGAGAGGGATGCTCTTGGTACTGCTCTATGTCTCCCACGCTTCTGCCAGTGAGTGTGCTGCTTTCTTCCTCATGACTTAGCTGATTCTGTAACACGGCAGGGGGAAGCATCCCGGAAAAGAAAGTGTCCTTAATGTCCAGAGAGGGACTCGGGGAAGATGACTGTCAGTGCTTTGCGCTGGCAGCATGCGTTGGTGGTGGGGACCAGGCAGAGAAGTAGAACATGGGGCGTGGATCTAGGAAACTGTGGCTTCAGCAGCCTCGTGTCAGGGCTAAGCCTCAGGGGAGAGTGCAGTTAGGAAAACGAGCCTCAGGCCACGGGGAGGCCCACTGCACAGAGGGGGGCAACAAGAGGCCTGCCTCCCACTCACAGCCCCCACCTTGTTCTTCGTGGGGCACAGCCCCCAGGGACCAGCAGGTGGGGGTGTCCAGACGGGAACCAGGCCCTTTCTGTGTTTCTACTTCAGCACTGTTCTGCATGAAGCCTTCCATCATGAAACCAAAACAGTATACTGCTAAACTGACCCCCTTTTGCAGGGCTTGGCCAGGGAGCGGGGAGGGGTCTCGGAGGCTGCTAAGGCCTCCGTCGGCGAAAGTGGCAGCTGCAGTCCCCTCCCTGACCTCCAGGTTGTCCAGGACTAAGATCCAGCCTAGAAAGGGTCCGATGGCTCTGCCCCATTTTCGCTGCCACCCCAGCTGGCTCTGTCCTGACTCCCTGCAGTTAGATGGGAGACATCAGAGAGCCCCCCCGCCTCGTATACACGTGGAGAGGAGAACTCCTTACCTTCCTTGCTGACTCCATCTCCTTGCAGCCCCAGGGAGACCAAGGGATGCCCACAAAACACAGAAAGGGCCTCTCCTCCCTCATAAAAAGGCTCAGGCAAGTGATCCGGGGCAAACATTTCATCTTTGGGTCAGATTCCCTCATTATATCCTGGCCTTCTAAGGGTTGTATAGGATCAAGTGAAATAGTCAATTAGAGCTTTGAAAAAGTAAGTCACCACACACCTGTAGGTTCTTGTTGTGTCAGGAAGGATTGGTTGATGACACCTTGTTTACCACACATTGCCAGCGTCCCATGAAAAAAACCCCACAACAAATGGAAATCTTGTCCCTGGTGGTTCTGAATGACTCTGTGGCCTTACAGACATCATCTTGCTAACAACCAGTGCTGTCACTGTTCCAGCAAAGTCTCCCAGTGTCAGTTCACAGAGATGTTTGGTCACATGATGCCCTTTCATGGGGAGGTCGGCCAAGGTCCTCTAATGACAGTACTGCAAGTGACAATCAACTCTAGTGTCATGGTTTGGAAACTCTGTCTTTGATGCTCACCTCAAAGACCCCCCCCGCCCCCCGTAGGGGAAGCCCTCCCAGTCTTCATGCTCTGGGCAGAATTCACGCCCTCTCCTCTGTACACTCGGGGCACACTCCCCCGTGTCACAAGTCTCTCTGTAGGCTATCGCTCTTCATTGTGTCTGTCTCCCCATGCACTGTGACTTCCCCTGGTGCTGGGACAGGATCCTGAAATCTTTCCCTATAAGCCCAGCCCCTAGCTCAGTACCTGGCAGGCCTGTGTGTGCAGTGGAACAAATGGCTGAAAAAAGCAGCCACCAATGGACTGACCCACGCTCAACTAGTGGTACCCATCATGTGACATCCAGGACCACTGATTTAGAAAGAGGCACTGGGTTCTCGGGGTTTGGGATTTACAAACAGCAATGTAAGCAGTGGTTTACATGAAAAAAAAAATGGAAGGGTCCATTTCGCCTTTGGGTTTAGCATTATTCCTCATGGGGATACAGTCTGCAAAGTACCTTCTTATAACCTCACCTCGTGTGATCTTTACAATCCCATGTTTCGAAAGAGGAAACAGGCCCAGAGAGGTGAAGTGGCTCGCCCCAGGCCAACTGGACTTGGAACTCTGAGTCCAGGGCCTTCCTGAAACACGGGTGGTTTTCAACTCCAAATATAGACTAGACTCTACCTGGGAGCTTTTAAGAAAATGCGAGTCAGGCCCCATCCCCGGGGGCGGGGATGAAATGTGCGGGCAGGTTGAGAATCCTTGCATGCCACTCTACGTAGGTGAGGATGGAATGGACACCCTGGGGACTCATGAAGGCAGGGCACAGCGACTGGCGAGGAGGACACAGCGCAGTGGAGGGAGTCAGCAGCCAGGCAGAGCACCTGCTCCCCTGCACCCCAGGTGGACACCATCCTCTAACGATGCCTGGGAAGGAGGAGGCTCAGCTCACCCAACCTGGGGCTTTCAGTTTTAAGAGTTCTTTCTGTTCTATCATTCTAACACACACAACTAAGGGATATATGACTATGGAACTTTTTTCTTTTAAATACAGTAATACCTCTTTTTGCGAGCATAATTCATTCCAGAAACAAACTACTCGTATTGCAAGACATCACTCATTTACCAAGTTAAAATGTATTACTAGGTTGGTGCAAAAGTAATAACAGTTTTGCTCAAAAACCGCTATGACTTTTGCACCAACCTAATAGAAACGTTTGCTCGTCTTGCGGGACACTCGCAAACCAAGTCACTTGCAATCCAAGGTTTTACTGTACAGGGCAATATGGCCTGTATTGGGCCAGCCCAGGGCTGGCAGAGGAGGATATTTTTTAAAACTTTAGTCAACATTTCACTCATTTGAAATACAGTCCAGTCTGCCCAAGAGACTGTCCAGTTGGAGGCGACCCCGAGACAAGCCTCCACCTGGCAGGACTTTTGAGCCCCTTGATGACAAGATGTCAGGGAAGGCTTGGTTGGCAGCAGGCTTTTGTTCATTCACCAGATAATTTGTTGAGAACCTACCATGTGCCAGGCACTGTGCCAGCCCCTAGGGATACCCTGGCAAACAAAACAGACATGACAGGGAAAGCCATGCATGCCAACAGCCCGAATGGGGAAGAGCAAAATTGAGGATGTGAAATGTGGCTGGAACAGAGACTGTGAGGGGTTGAGAGCATATGGAGTCTGGATTCATCCGGACCAGCCCTATGTCCTACCAGCTGTGTAACTCGGACAAGTGCTTACCGGCTCTAAAGCTCGATTTTTCTCATCTGCAAACAGAAAGTGAATGTCAACCTCTAGTTCTGTTGGAGGGGTTGTATGAAGTAGTGGATATCAGCAGTTCTCAAACATTTGGGTCTCAACACCTCATTATACTCATTAAAATTATCGAGGACCCCCAAAAGAGCTTTTGCTTGAGGAGCTATATCTTTCCATATTTACCATATTAGAAATTAAAACTGGAGAAATTTAAGATACAAGAACAGTGCCGGGCGAGTGGCTCAGTTGGTTAAGAGCTCGCTCAAGAGTGCGAGCTCTGAGCAACAGCGGTTCGAATCCCAGCCCGAGCTGAGCTGCCGCTGAGCTGCCAACAGGTGGCAGCATGGCTCAGCTAAAAAAAAAAAAGACACAAGAACACACAGGTTCACACAGGTTTATCAGCCATCAGAGTGATGACATCATGTAGCCTCTGGAAAATTCTACTGTACATTAGTGAGAGAATGAGAAAAAAGCAGATATAAATCTGAATATTCTCATGAAAATGGTTTTAACCTTGGAGACCCCAGAGAGGGTCTCGCGGACTCCCAGAGGTCCCCGAATACACTTTGAGAGTGGCTGATGTGAACATACACAAGTTTCAGACACTGCCTAGTGTACTCAATAGATGAGAGTGGTTATCGGTAGCCTGACGTTATTTTTAGATTCCATGATGCTACCAAGCGTCTTTTATAGGGAAGGAGACTCGCTAGGGAAAGGAACGGGTGGCAGAGTTAGTGGTGACTAAGGCACAGAGCCAGATGGAGTGGGAACCGACGGGCAGGGGTCCTGAGGTCTGGCGCTGTGGTGGTGGTGTGGTGGTAGTGGCCGCCACAGGCCACCAACTCCTTGCCCCAGCAGTGAGGCCCCCGCACACCCCCTCTGCAGGTTGTGGCATCCAGAAAACCAACGTTATAGAACCTTCCGAGGAGGGTCTGGTCAGCGAGAAGGAGTTCCCGTGGGTGGTGTCGCTGCAGGATTCCCGCTACGCCCACCTGGCTTTCGGCAGTATCCTCAGTGAGTTCTGGATCCTCAGCGTCGCGTCCGTCTTTCACAACAGGCCAGTACCCCTGCCTGTGCGGCTGCGCCGCCTCCGGGGCGGGCTGGGGGGGCTCTGCTTCCTGCTCAGCGTGGGCGGTCCTGGAAGGTGGAGTCCTGGGGACAGGGCAACGGGGCTTCTCACCGGCTCAGCGCTTGCTCTGCGGTAAGTCTCTGAGTCCTGAAATCATCAGGTGTCAAAGTTGGAGCAGTCCCGGGTCTCCACCCGCCCAGGGAAGTGCTGGTTCCTCCATCCTCTACAGAAAGGATGCTCCTTCCCATTTTACTGTGATCACAAAGACACTGACTCTTGATGCCACAGGTCCCTACTGCTTGTCTTGTCAAGTGAATCGATAGGAGCCCTTCTCTTAAAACACTTACCTGGGGCCTTAACAATGGGACTGAGACACATATACATACGTAGAGAAAAGACTTGAATGAAACTCACAAATACTTAAGAGCACGTATCTCTGGAAGCTCAGAATGCATATGATTGCTGTTCTTCAAACTTCTTGGTGTTCCCAAATTCTTTACAATAAATGTGCATTCTTTTAAACCAGAAAAAAAAACAAACCACCCACAAGTGTTATTAAAGGAATAACTTTTTTTTTTTGGTAAAACATCTTACTTTTTGACCCAATGATGTCACTTTTGGGAATCAACATTAAGGAAATAATTTCAACCACTGGAAAAATGTTATGCACAGTTGTTCATAGGATGGTTAATCATGCACAAAACACTGAAAATGTAATGTCCAATTATCATGGATAAGTATAGTATATTACCCTTTTATATAGTATATACTATATATTATATAGTATAAAATTTATATAAAATGCTACGTATAAATAGTGTACATACTTTGATATATAGTACATGCATATATTATACATAATATATAGTATATAAATAGTATATATAATGTACACTATATTACAATATATATAAATATTGCTGATATACTATATATTATATATATACATACAGAGTATGGGGGGAGAGATTATAATTACTATAATTGGCTAACCAAATTATAGTATAAGCCCTGATGGAATATTGTGGAGCTGCTGAATTTTTTCACATAGGATATATAATTTTAAATTGAAAATACACATATTTAAATGCAAATGCATGTACCTAGTATAATGTTCATGAGGAACCAAAGGATATACAAGAAAAAGCTTCTCTTGCCTCCCCTGCCCTCCAGCCACTAGTATCCTTCCTTTGAGCCATATTTTGTCACCAGTGTCTAGGGTATTTTTCCTTAAATACTCAATGCATTTATGGATATCTATATACCTTTAGGTCTATGTATATTGATTCTTATATCTATTGACAAAGGGAGAATCTCCCCCCACCCCCAATCCCCGTATTAATCTGCTAGGGCTGCCATAACAAAATACCACAGACAGGGTGACTCAGACAACAGAAATTTATTTCT